GCCCCCCCCGCCGATGAGCGGGAGATTTCAGCTTCCAAAACACGGCCGTGAGTCAGGCGCCTCCTTCCCGCCGTTTTTTGGGTGGTCTGGGACAAGCTGGGACAGGCGCTGGCTCTCCAGGCTTCCTGGCAGCGCACAGAAGCCCCGGGGCTGGCAGTCCTGCCCCGGCATCCTAGGGGGGGGTCTGCCCCGTGCTGCCAGTGCCAGGAGCCCATGGGGATTTGGGGCTTCCCTGGGGGCTGGCAGCCTGACAGGGGTCTGTCCTCTGCTGGGCACCCCCTGCTGTCCCCAAGGCCACTGATGCCCACAGCTGTGTCCCCCTGACCCCATGCAAAGCCCTGCAGTGGGGAGCCAGGATTGCGACCAGAGGGGATGGGGCAGTGTGCCACAGGGAGGGGCACCCAAAGCCCCTGGAGTCCCCAGCACGGGGACCATGGGGACCACAGAGGTGAGGGTGCCTTCTGGGGACCTCTCGGTATGCTGGCCTAGCCCTGGCCTTCATCCTCCGCGCCAGAGCCCCCGAGGGCAGTGAGATGGCCTGTGCTGGATGCTGCGGTCGGCCGCAGCCTCCTGCAGGACCCCTCGGGTGGGGAGGGCGGCTGCGCCCCGCAGCCGCAGCGTGCCAGCAATTTGCAGATAAAACAAACAACCGGGAGCAGGGAATGTCTGGGTCTGTCCCCGGAGACGGCCACGACGCCGGGCAAAGTCGCATGCTGTGTGCATGTCAGCTGAGACCCAGCAGCAGCTCAGCACATGTCCCCCCGGCTGGCGCGGGCAGCTCCTGGCCCCTGCGCCCATGGCCGCCCAGCTCCCTCCGGGGCAAGCGCCCATCTGCATGCCCAAGCGCGCTGGGGAGGTGGGTGAGGCTCTCGACGGGATCCCCACGGGCTCTGCCAGCGCAGCCGGGCGGCTGGGAGCCCATCTGCCCCCAGGAGGTGTCTGTGGTTCCCCTGTTTGGGGGGGGTCCCTTAGCACAGTGGGGAGGGTGTGGTGTGGGACAGGATGGGACAGGACAAGATGAGACAGGATGGGATGAGACGGGGTGGGACGGGACGGGACGGGATGGGGAGCCCCACCCCGGCGGGAAGGCAGCTCCAGTGCTGCTGGGGATGCTCCGTGGGGTGGCAGCGCCTGGATGCGGATCCTGGTTCCTCCAGGGCAAGGCCTGGTCCTGAGTGGGGGCTGTCACTTCCCTCCTTCCTCCTGCACCCCCTGCTCCATCCACCTCAGCCCAGGACAAGCCGGGGGTCTGGCTGGGGACCGGAGCAGAAACGGGAGCAGTGGGATGGCCAGAGAGGGGGTTGCAGTGTGGCAGGGGAAGGACAGGAGAGGGGAAAGCTGGGAAAAACCAGTCCCCGTTAAGATGGGCAGCAGCCGCCCTGGGCAGTGTGGGGTTAAGGATCGGCCCCAATCAGCCCTCCTGGGCTCAGCTGCCCACCAGGAGATTAAAAGGGGCTAAAACCCCCTGCTCAGGTTCTACTGGCTCCCTGGGCAGGTGGGTCTCGGGCTTGGTCTCCCCATCACGTCCCTGGGGCAGGGGCAGGTGGAGGGTGAGTGTCCCTGGGGCTCCTGCCTGTCCCAGAGCTGGGGGCTGTGGCCCCCCTGTAAGGGGCAGCAGGGTGGGTAGAGGGAAGGTGAATGGGCAGAGTTCTGGGAACGAGGTTTTATTGAGGAAGGCAAATGCTGCCACTGCAAGAGGCCGAGTGAGGTGCTGGGGCTTCTTGTACAGCCTGGGGGGGATGCATCTCTCCTCGCCAAGAGGCAGAGTCAGTCTCCTGCCCTGCCCTGGGTCAAGGAGCCCTGAGCATCAGCTCCCAAACCCCCCCTGGAGCTGGGAGGACATGGGAGTCCTGGCCCTCTTCTCCCCTCCTGGGCGCTGCCAGGCAGCCAAGACACCTCGGCCCCTCTCCCTGCAGCCCATCTGCCCATGGGACCCCCTCCCAGCCCCAGCTAGGGCTTCAGCTGCCCCTTCTGATGGTGGCACCCTTGCACAGTGCGATGCACCCAGTCGATGTAGTTGGAGATCTTGGTGTAGATGTCAGGGTACCGGCGGTCCCCACATCTCTCCCCAGAGAATGAGACGATGCCGTAAACCTTTTCCTTGAAGATCAGGGGTCCCCCGGAGTCGCCCTGTGAAGCAAAGGGGTGGGAGGGAGACTAGCGGGTCTCCTGGAGGGGGATAGCTGGGGGGCACAGGGCCAGGAGTGTACTCACTGCGCAGACGCCCTGCAGCGTGGTGTTGCGGCTGGCCCCACACAGCATGTTGGGCGAGACCTTGCCCCTCCACAGCGTTCGGCAGAGGCTCCGCTTGACGATGGTGGTGCCAGTCTCCATCAGCTCGGTGGGCTGGTCGCCGTAGTTGGAGGTGTCACCCCAGCCCACCACGTAGCAGACTGTGCCAGGCTTCAGGTCGATGTGCGGTGAGGGCAGGCGGATCCGCTTCACGTACTTGTTCAGTGTGGCCGACCTGTTCAGCTGGGTGGGGAGCCGGGGGTGCGGGTGGCTTCGCTGCTGGGGCAGAGCCCC